TTTTTTTTGGTTGCAGCCGTCATTGTTGTTTGGCGGGTCCAGGCTGGGGATTCGAACCCGCCACCTTAGGTGTACGTGGCTGGCGCCTTAGCCGGATTTTGAGTATATTTTGAAAGAGGAACTTTGACCCAATTATTCTTCATATTTTTTTCCTGCTTTTTTTGCTAAGTTCTACCTTCCATGCTTAGTATTCCCCCAACCTTTCTCTACTTTTCTTCCCTCCAAAAAGGAAAAGATAATTGCTAGGTTTTTCTTATTCTTATCAACTTCTAATACTAGCCTTATTTTGCCTAATGCAGTTTGAAGGGAGTAAGCTGGACAAGGTATCCCTACTTCCTAACATGTCATCTTACCTTCTTTGTCTTTCTTTACCTAGGTGAGAAGAAATTTGCCTGCCCTGAGTGCCCTAAGCGCTTCATGAGGAGTGACCATCTGTCAAAGCATATTAAGACCCACCAGAATAAGAAAGGAGGCCCAGGTGTAGCCCTGAGTGTGGGCACTTTGCCCCTGGACAGTGGGGCAGGTTCAGAAGGCAGCGGCACTGCCACCCCTTCAGCCCTTATTACCACCAACATGGTAACCATGGAGGCCATCTGTCCAGAGGGTATTGCCCGTCTTGCCAACAGTGGCATCAACGTCATGCAGGTGGCGGATCTGCAGTCCATTAATATCAGTGGCAATGGTTTCTGAGATCAGGCATCTGGGGCCAGAGACATATGGGTCATACCCCTCAACCCTGGGATGCAAGGTAGCGTGGGTCCAAGAGACATGTGGGAGAGAAAGCCATGAGGCATTAAAATGCATGGCGGTGGGAAGAATTGGGGAAGGGATACAAGAGAAGAGATGGGGTCCTGGCACCCACCTATATCATCAGTGCCTCCTTGAATGTGGGAAACATTAGTGAAAATCCTGTTGGTGCCACCCTTTGATGAGCATTTGTTTGACCCCCAGTTTCTTCTTTCATTTCTTACCCCAGCCTCCCTTTGCTGCATTTTTCTTCTCAGCTCTCCCATGATAGATCCCCCCCTTTCCTAAAGCCATCATGCCTTGATAAATATATATGATCATTGAAATACTTTTTAACAAAAAACAGATTCTATATTATATATATATATATTAAAAAAGATATATAGAGATGCATTCACAGGGGTTGGCTGGGAGGAGGAAGGAGACCATTCTGTGACCAAAATACCTTGGTCATTTTTTTTTTTTATATTGCCTTATTTTCTTATGGCTGAGCCTTGTTGTGACACATCAAGCTTTTCTATAGATGTTGTCTTGGCTTCCCACCAGATTAAGCATTCATATGCTTTGCTTTTAGTTGATATATACATACATAATGTTTTTCCTTTCTTAATATTGTCTTTTTATTTGGGATCAGCTTCTTGTACTCCTTTCCTGACTTAATTTTTTCTGTCTCCCCTTCTGTCACCTGATCACTTGATGTTTTTTGCTAGTGATCCCTGGATGAAGTACTTCTGTTGATTGTTTAAAGACCTTAGTCCCAGCAACAGAATGGAAAAACCTTGATGTCCAGGCCAATGCTTGAGGTAGCTGTGAAAGGAGTGTTCGAAATACTGCTGACGCAGGCACCTTCTTTGTGCTGGAGAGTCAAAAGCATCTCCCTTCATCAGCTGCTGTAAGCATTTAGAATCAAACTTTTCTTTGGAATTGTACATTAGACCCTTTGAAGGTTATAATCTGGGATCAGTTTGTATAAACTGTCAAAAAATGGTCAAATGATAGATAGGGTCTTTTCAGTAGAAAAAAGATTGCTCAGAAGAGGAAGTGGCTCATGGTATTTGAGTTCAGGAGCTAGTGGAGTATTTGAACTTTGGTACCACTGTCTTCCACACTGTCTCTAAGCTTTTATGTGTGGGCTTCTGAGTTTTTATTCTAAAAGGAAGTACACTTCCTCTTTTGAACATCCTGGGTAGTAGTTTCTTTCCTATTATGTTGATAAGGAGCATCAGCCAATAGATCTTTCTGGGTTCCCATTCTGCAGAATTCCAGAACATGTACTAGTGACAAGACAGTGGTTCTTAATGATCTTTTTCCCTTAACTCTTCCTTAAATGTATGTACTTGGATGGTTCCTAAGGGAAAAGGGAGCACATGATCATGGGAATGATAGCCCAGAACAAAAGAAATCTTGTCTTACCACTATGATTTATAAGAGAGATTGGAAGAAATCATCCTGTTTTCTCCATGGCCTGATTCCAGTAAAGACTGATCCAAAAATTATAGCGGCAGGGAACTCAGTGCATTTTGCATTGATATTTAAACACAACCAGAATTGTCCTCAAGGCCCAGCCATTAAAGCATTGTCTCTCTCTACCTTCTGGTATCTTGTTAGAGAGCTTTTCACTGTGAGGAAGTGTGGAAATGGCTGTGTGTATGTGTGTAATCTATTAGGTTGGGGATAGGTTTTCTGTTAGCCAATAATAAAAGAGACCTGCAATAAAAAATTACCCTAATCTGATAGAAAGTTAAGTGTTTGTGTATGACTGTGTGTGTGAATGTGTGTTCTTGCCTGTATATATCTACACACAGATGAGAAATTATATTTGAAATTGTTGGAGATTCAGATCAAAATGCCTTTCAGGCCCATTACCTAGAAATCTATCTTAAAACCTGGGTATGTTCCTGAGGTTATTTCTCTGCTTATGCTAAATTGGTTACAATTATGAGTGGGGGATATTCTACTGTACTTTTTCAAGAAGAAACTATTTTTTTGTTTGAAAATGAAACCAACATCCAGATCTATAGCAGAGTCTTTATTCTTTTCATAAATCTTTTTACTTTGGCTACAAATAGATGATGCTATGATTCTACTATATATTTTATATAAAATCTATCCAAATTAGGTTTTGGGTAAATTTGTATTGTTTAACCTGAATTACAATAACTGTTAATACTTTAAACAATAGTTCACCTCATTTTGGTCCTTTCTCTACAGATGTAATTTTGTTTTCAACATCCAGGGGCTATTGCAAGGACTTTTCCCAGATCAGATTATATTAATGCTGAAGTAAAAGTCATCTTTGTCCAGCCACTATCACACCCTTTATTCCTACTGAAAGGCAGAACTCAGAACCTGTTATTTTATGTCTGTAATCATGTACTTTGGCATCTTTTGGAGGAAAGGGGCAGAATAAGTCACTGGAGTGTGCAGTATTTTGCTAGAGCATTTCAAGGAATGGAATCTCTCCAGTATGAACTTATTAGGTATAAACTAGCTTTAATGATATTGAGGAACATTTGATGATGTTTCTCTCTTGGATGAAAAGCTGCTGGTTTTCTCACAACCCTGTATATTAGCATTACCATGAGTGAATTTATATCCAATTCTTTCCACTTGCCCTATTTCCTTCTCACTAAGGAAGCTGCAGATCTGGTATCTTGTTTGGCTGCAAAACAGAAGCAGAAGCAGCTTCTGCTTTTTTGTCTTCCAGCAGCAGTGAGCCACTCAGTCTTTTCCACAGGAAGATAGGAGTCTGTCTACATTCCTTGAGTTAGGAGCTCACTACTGAAAAAAAATCCCCTTTCCTTGAACTTTTGGCCAGCAGAAATTAATGTAACTCATACACATATTGATTCTGAAATTTTTTCATGAGTTTTTGATTAGTTTTTTTAATGACCAAAACTTGCAGGGCAGGGGATGCCCAGAGGAGTGGTGATATGCAAACTCTTATTCCCTGTCTTTTCAGGTTACCCATTACATTTATTTGCTTATCATTTGACTATCCGTCTTATTTCCCCAGAGCAGTAATAACCCACACCCATCTTCCTTCAGGGACTGCCCAGCCTGCTCCCTGTGAGTGTTACACGGAATGCAGTTTAATGGATAATTCTCAGCCTGGTTCAGAATAAGTTGAACCTTTGACCCTAGAAAATATAGACTGATGTGTGTGGTAAAGATTATGATTAGGGGAGGGTTGGAGACAAAAGCTGTAAATTACTATGGCTGATTTATTTCTACTATATACATATATATATTTTTTTTGCTTTTGTATATCCTATATAGGAAACTAAGCATTGTATTTTTTTAACAAATCTGAGAAAGCACTATGAACTGCAGGTATTTTGACTTTCAGAACATTTTGTATTGTTAATATCTTCACATTGTGTGAATACTGGAAGCTGCAGGTCTTTGCTAGGACGCAATAAATTTATATACTTTTTGAGGGGTTCTTATGGGGGTGCTAATCAGGCCCCTGTTATTTTCTGTGGGAGCCCTGGTGCTACTTGCCTAAAGTTTTTATTCCATTGTAAGTACCCTAATGCCTTTTGGACCTTGGGATCAGATCAAAAGAGTTTTGGAGATCAAGTACCAAGGAAAGAAGACCGTTTAGCTGCCTCAAGTGAGGGGCCCTTTGCATAGCTCTTCTTCCCCCTCCCTGAAACTGGGTAGCCCCTGGGGTTGGAGAAGAAATGTGAAGTTGCAGAATTTTTCCTCCCTTAGAAGAGAGCTAGTAACTTATGTACAAAGATGAAAAGTGGCAGCAGTAGCTTTGGAGAAATGGGAGGATATGGCACTTCTCCAACCCCGGAAAACATTTCTTTTGAAAACTGCTGATAAAATACAGGCAGGTTATTACTTTTGTTTGGGAGACTGTGCTCTCTCTGATGCCTCTGTTGGCTCTACTCCGGGGGTACAGACCTTTTCTAGGAGGATGAGCAGACCAGCTTTGAGGTTGAACTGTTTCTTTTTCTTTCCTCTTTCTTATTCTTTCTTTCTTTCTTTTTTTTTGTCTGCCTTCCCTAAACACCAGCCCCTAGGAAGACATTAAGCAGCCTTAAGCTTAAATTCCTACTCCCTCTTCCAGATTTGGCTCCATTGTCTTAGATCAGAAAGGAAAAAATGGGAATCCCTGGCTTCATTACTCCCCTAGGTCTTTTCCACTCTGACTTCCCAAACCCCAAAAAAGATTTCCTCCACAATGTTCATTTGAGAGAGGAATTTTGTTTCATTTTCCTCTTATTATCAAATAGCCCCAGTCTTCTTTGTCTCTGCTAAGGGAGTAAAAGTGTGGTGATCTTTTACTCAGCTCCCCCTAAGTCCCAGCTCAGCATCAGAAAAAAACAAAAAGCATAACAAATGGAGTCAGGCTGGAGGACTTAGTTGATAATTCTACCAGGTTATGTGTTTTCCTATATTTTGCCTTCAGGAATTACACTGTGCCTTCTCCACGGGGGAATGGGCTTTGTCAGCGCCCTTTACTTTCCCCATAACTGCTCTTGAACAGTGTGAACAGGGGCAGATCTTATTTCTGATCATCCCTTTTCTCCCTGATGACATCCCATAGCCCTTACCTAGAGTCTAGGGCACAAAGACTGGGAAGGATATGCTGAGATTCACTTGAGGAAACACCACCTACACACACCAGTGGCAGTTGCCCTAGGGCTTGCTGCTGCTTCCTAAGTCTGTCATCCTCTTGGGGGAGGGGGAGATGCTCCAATCTCTGGTGCCTAAAACAAGTTTTATTTCTCTCTTAACACTGGCAATAACCAGTCTTCATACCACTGTTGCCTTTTAAAACTTCTTAAGTATTTCATGCTGTGTTTGTTGTTGGTTCCAACCCAGTTATCGCCAGGGCTGTATGGGTAAATGCTTTTAAATGCTCTCTCATCTTGCTCTTTTTTTCCCCCTCACTGCTGTGTATGTATGATGCTAATCTCTTTAAGTTTCTTCCTGTGCTCCTTTTGTATCTTCCTTTCTTGTCTCCCCTTCCTACCTTTTGTGTCTGGGTGTTTTGGGGCACTTTTTTTTTTTTTTTTTTTTTTTGCCTTTTGTACAAAGATTAGTTTCATTGTAGTCTGTAGCTCCTTTGTAAACCTATTAAAAAAAAAGTTTTTTAATAAAAAAAAGCCATGTCTCTGGTGTATTGAGAGGGGTGGGAATGGGGTACATGGGTATAATTTTATATTCTAGACCCAACAGAAGTTTCTAGTTACACTATATTGTGTTTCCACACATGCTAATTAATGTAGTTGCCCTGCACTTAACTCACAGGTAAATGGTTTTATGATCAGATCAGTGTGCCACAACTACATAGAAATGTGGAGGACTGAGAAGGATGAGGGCAGCTCCAATATTTGGGGTTTTGTTGTTGTTGTTGTTTGTTTGTTTGAGACAGAGTCTGTCTCTGTTGCCAGGGCTAAAGTGCTGTGGCCTCAGGTTGATTTTCCTATTTTTTGTAGAGACAGGGTCTCACTCTTGGTCCTAACCTCAAGCAGTTCTCCCACCTTAGCTTCCCAAAGTGCCAGAATTACAGGTGTAAGCCACAGCTTCTGGCCCCAATGTTTCTTGTCTTTTTTGTTTTTGAGTCACCCTAGGGTTGAGTGCTGTGGTGTGACATCTCACAGCAACTTCAAACTCTTGGGCTAAAGCGATCCTCTTGCCTTAGTCTCCCAAGTAGCTGGGACTATAGGCACCTGCCACAATGCCTGGCTAGTAGTTTTGTTGTTTTCTTTAAGAGACAGAGTCTCACTTTGTCGCCCTCAGTAGAGTACTGTGGCATCACAGCTCACATCAACCTCTAGCACCTGGGACTACAGATGCCCGCCACAACGCCCATCTATTTTTTTATTGCTGTTTGGCTGGGGCCGGGTTTGAACCTGCCACCCTTGGTATATGGGGCCAGTGCCCTACTCACTGAGCCAGAGGCACTGCCCCACCTGGCTAGTTTTTAGAGACGGCGTCTCTTGCTCAGGCTGATCTTGAACTCTCCACCTGAGCTCAAGCAATCTGCCCTCCTTGGTCTCCTAGAGTGCTGGGATTACAGGAGTGAGCCACTGCGCCCATCCTGCCCCTCAATGGTTTTTTTTTTCTTTTGCTTCAATATTTTTAATATGGTTTTTATTTTGGAATAATTTTAGATTTATAGAAAAGATGTAAAGATAGTTTCCAGCAGATGTGGTGGCCCATGCCTATACTTACACTTCCTTGGGAGGTAGGCCAGGAGGATATCAAGCTCAGGAGTTTAAGGTTGCAGTGAACTGTGGTCACACTGCTGCTCTCCAGCCTGGGCAACAGAGTGGGATCCCTGTCTCTGAGGAAAAAAAAGTTTCCCTATAACCCTCAGTTTCCCCTATTAACATATTACCATGGTACATTGTCAAAACTAGAAACTGACATTGGTGTATTAGGTATCCCAATTTTTTTTTTTTTTTTGACTCACAGGTAAACAGGGTTTTTTTGTGGCTTTTTTTTTTTTTTAAGAGACAGTCTCATTTTGTCCCCCTTGGTAAGGTGCTGTGGCATCACAGCTCACAGCAACCTCCAGCTCTTGGGCTAGGCAATTATCTTGCCTCAGCCTCCCAAGTAGCTGGAACCACAGGTGCCTGCCACAATGCCCAGCTATTTTTTGTTGCAGTTTGGCCAGGGCTGGGTTTGAAGCCACCACCCTCAGTATATGGGGCCGGTGCCTTACTTAGCCACAGGCACCACCCAGGTAAACGGTTTTATAATCCTCTTTCCAGGATCCATTCTAGGGTACCTCCTTGCATTCACTTGTTTCCCTAGTCTCCTTTGTGACAGTTTCTCAAGTCTTTTACCTTTTTTTCATGACCCTCATGGTCTTTGGAAGCATTGGC